AGTTTGAGTTTGAGTTTGATTTGAAATCAAACCCAAACTCAAACTTGGCAAGAGTTTGATTTGATTTGATTTGATAGGAACCCTACTTGAGGGAGTAGGAGACCATGTTGAGGGAGTTGAAGACTGTGTTGAGGGAGTAGAGGGAGTTGAGGGAGATGGAGGCCGTGTTGAGAGACTTGAAGGTATAGTTGAGGGACTTGAGGACCATGTATAACTTTAGCCACATTATGTGCCACAGTGGCTTTAACTCTCTTTTAAATACTAATATACATAATACAAATAATAAATATCTAATACAAAATACAAGTTAATAAATATAAACTAAATAATATAAAATATAAATAAACTATAAAATATAAACTATAAAATATCAACTACGCTAAATTACTTTATATTGTAAAAACCTGTTTTACAACAATATCATTCACCATAATACCCTCACAAAATTTAAAACCGAAGCCATCTAAGTAACATTACATAATTTACTGTATTTTACCGATAATAAGCACCCTCTCAGAGAAATTTTCATAACCAAAATTCTCATAATTTAATGATTGAATCAGTGTGATTTTGGTACCATTTGAATCATCTTATTAAGGTGATTCGAATGGTACCAAAATCACACTAATCCAATCATTAGATCACGAGAATTTTGGTTATGAAAATTCCTTCGAGGGGGTGCTTATTATTGGTAAAATACGGTAGTTAAAATGCGATTTTTTTTTTATAAAATTATTAAGCAAGGTATAACTTGTGTAAATTTTAAAAAAATTATCAAAAATAAAAATTTTTGGTAAACTTTTATTAGTAGTACGTGTTAGCTTCGCCATAATACCCACACCCACCTTATATTGTAAAATTATAATATGTCTTTAGAGTGTATTGACTAATTTTTTAAAAGTTCGCAAGTCATAAAATTTTTGTCCGGGATTAGCTGGTATTCTATCCGGGGTATGATCGACATTTTTTCCGAGGTATCTTAACAACCAATCAAAACGATGCTTCGTTATCACAATTGTTCTTTAAAGTATCGCGTACCACGTGATTACATATATGTTAGTGAAACGTTTCAATTATTTACACTAAAAATTATAGTATGCAGATCAAGATTTTATTGACCTTAAAAACTCCGTTACTGAATAACCGCACAACCAAATTCTTACTTTTTTTATTCCCAATATTATCATTTTTCAAATGGCTCGTAAGTAAGAAAAATGGCAGAATTTTTTTTGATTATAATTTGATTATAATTTGATGACGATATAAAATTTCACAAACACTATTAGGCGGAAATCAAAGAGAAAAAGCTCGTGAAAAAAATCTAAAAAAACAGAAACAAACTCCCAAGAAAAAAGAAGACGGAAACACTTTCAAGAAACGTGCTGAAAGGTGTGTACAAAGTTACTAATTACTTTTTACTTTATGTTTTTTTGTATGCAATTAGAGAATTGCTTTTGGACGCATGGGGGCTGTAATTTATGGCTCGATTCGTTCATTTGCAATTTTAAATCGTTCACGAAAGCAAAAAAAAAAAAAAGATAAAAAAAAAATCGCATAGATTAAATGTATAAAATAAAGTTCGTAACAGATATTAATTTTTTAATGGAAAAATGAACGTTACCAAGAATATAAGAACAAAGCTTTCGTATGTTAAGAAATACATTTAATCATTATATCGATTGATATTGAGATTACATACTGATTAAATTTTTTTTTTTTTTAATTTGTTTTATGGGATTGAATTAATTGATCTTTGTCAATAGTGACGCTGAAATCATGAGACAAAAACAGCAAGTAAGTAGTATTTATTTAATTGGAAGATTTTTGTCACAATAAACATGCATATTAAAAATGACATTTTCTTGAAAACTTATAGAAAGCTTTAGAGAAAAAATCCGAGACCACTTCTTAAAATTATCAAAAATATCGACATCGTTGACTAAAATATGAACTTACTACTGAACTTCCCGATTTTTCAATTCCGATGTTCCAATGAAAAATTCTATAGAATATTCTTATTGGAATGATTATAATTTTTATGCAAATATAATATTAACTAATCAAAATAACTATATAATAAAGTCATTGTGTATACTTTCGTGAGTATAAATATACTGAAACCATTAAAAGTCCAAAAGCTAGAATATTATAAATTCGTTCTGTCTAACGAATCTGCTCATGGATGGGAACAGAATTCAAGTGGATTTGGTCAAATTAGTATTTTGGGATAGGATTTATCATATCTGATATCTAACCCTTAACCTTAAGTATTGCCGTTATTTTTTTTATACAGAACTGCAGTACGCAGTAAAAGCATAGCGAGTAGTGGCTAATGTTTGTAGACCGTTTTGTGACGTTTCAAAATCTGATTGGATAATTGAAAACGAGTTCGAAGTGAAATCTTTAATTATAAATTTCAAATTTTGAATAATTTCTAACACTTGGCTAATCTTAATATTGTATAATAAATAATAATAATGCCTTAAAGCTTAACGATTATCAGATACATATACAGTATACGTATAGATACCTTTATTAACCAAATCGCTTGTTAACTTATGCTGTACAAAATTAATAAAATCAACTATCAATACTGCAATAGGCATAATACGTACATGCTTGTGAAAGATATAAACAGTATAAAAAACAAACACACAAGGCCGATGATTTTCTGTGGAAAACAGTAGAATTTCTCTAAGTACAGAATAATTCTAAAAAAAGTAGAGAATATCGTAGAATCACAGAATTTCTGATTATAAATTCAATATAATTTAGGCCGACACCGAGAAAATTCGGAAAGTTACGGAATTATATAAGTTTTAGAAGAAATTAGACGTATTTATAAACTGTATACCGCTATTTTTTAGAACTACATTGCACCAGATTATGTAACTTTATTGGTAGGTGTACGCCTTGATTTTGCCTAGGGTTATGGCGTTAAAGAAAAAAAAAAATTTAGAGTACATTGCTGACGGTGGGGTTCGAACCCACGCATGCATACGCATACCAGAACTTAAGTCTGGCTCCTTAGACCGCTCGGACACATCAGCTGTCAACGTTAGAGACCAATTTTATTATTATTTGAAATATAAAATATATTTAATTATAATTCATGCTTATTAAAAACTACATATAATAATTTAAAAATTTAAAATGTATACAAGTAGGAAATACAATCTACATTAAGAATTGTTTTGTTCTTTTTTTTTTTAATACTGTAATAATCAGATAACAGGCCTAAATAAATGTTCTTATAATAAATATACATAATACTGTACTAATAATATATATATAAATAAATTTCATCACTATAAAAATTACCAATCCAATAAACCACTGTCTGAAATTTCTTTCCAACTTTGAACTCGAAAGAGTTTATAGTGTTGCTTCTTTGTATTAATTAAGTCATTTGTGTTAATCTTTTCAACTAATCCTTCAACAATTTCGATCCCGAATTTTGTGCAATATTTTGAAAGAGTATTATTGCTTCCCATGATGATCCCTATATTAGCTTCCACTTTAAATAGATAAAATAAAATAAAATAAATATATGAAATGTATGTATACATATATATACTGTATATATGTAAAATAAATAAATGATAAAGCTTACGCAGACACGGTAAATCTGTATCAGAATCTCCAATGTATACAGAAATTGTTCCTCGTGGAATCTCCAATTTACTGAATATTGACAGCTTATCAAGTGCTGAAAGTACGCTACGTTTTACTTTTCCAGTTGTAATATTGGTGTCATCAAGAACAAGGTCATTTGATAAAATATGTTCTCTTTTGATTCTTACCAGATCCTTCAAACTTCCCAGTAGCATATCACGCGACCAATTAGTGGAAAGAATATAGAAATATCGAGAAATATTACCATTTGCGCATTTAGGTAGATAACTATTCAAAACGTCTATTACTCCATTTCGTTTCGGTATCCTTTCCCCTGTTTTAAATAATTCATCACAATGTACTCCACTTAAACATTGGTATTTTTCAACACGATTTAATGATTTTTTTTCGACTTCTCTTAGTGATTCTAGCAGTTTATAGTGGTCCTGAAGTGTTCTTTCTGGATTTGTTTCGCACCAGAATTTTATGTGATCCTTACGGTCTCTGAAATATTTTTCGACAAAATAAGACCAAGGCGGAGGACATTCACCAGAATCACTATCGTTTGGCGCGAGCTTCTCGTCCACTAAAGGGCATTCTCCTTGTCTTGCTCTCTTCTCATATGCGAGTTTAGCTATTTCACAAATAGAGTCACTTTGAGTTATTGTTTCATCAAAGTCACTAACTAGGAGGCCAACAGGGTATTGCATTACAACGATTTAAGTGAATGAAAAAATGGGAAGAGTGGGAAATTCTCCCATAAAACACAACGCCAACTATCAATCAGGCAATTTATTTACGTTTGTGTGATCATTACACTCAATTTACTCGATTTTCTCTCCCGTCACAATATCCCTTAAACTCGCACACTTATGACTATAGGCACGCCATTTACCATAATTATATACAGTCAACTCTCTTTACGTATACGTAACGAACTGGCGGTTCTTATAAAAAGGTTCATAAATATATATAAATATAAATATATATATTAATATACGTATAGTATGATAATTTGAGATAACAAACATACTGGATCTCAAAATTATCATGCTATATTGGTAATAGTTCAGATCATAAATTATACTATTTATCGTTGTTTTTTTAAAAACATCTTTAATTCGTATGGTGCAAAATAATATAAGTATGGATGACGTATGCATCATGCAAAATAACAAGTATGAATGACGAAATAAAAAGAAAGTGATTTATAACATAAATAGTGTAATACTCATGATCAATAGTGGCCGTACTATAAATATATTTTTAATCTAGAAAATTTGTCTCCGCAGAAAATTCTCCGCAGTAGGTTCCGTGATGATCAAAAACTCTCAATTCGATTGGTCGATCAATATATGGTAGCATTTGCTTTAATGCTCTTGATTTGTCATCAATCGAAAAAAAAAAGTATATATACGAGCCAACCGTTTGATTATTAATTTCAATTTTAAATTTTTGAAAAAAAAAGAAAATGGGTCGTCGTCCAGCACGTTGTTATAGATATTGTAAAAATAAACCCTATCCAAAGAGTCGATTTTGTCGTGGTGTTCCTGGTATTTATATATATAATTTTTTTAATTTTATTTAAATATAATTTACTAATGAAAAAAATTCGTATTTGAAAAGATCCAAAAATTAGAATTTTTGATCTGGGGCGAAAGAAGGCAAATGTTGATGAATTCCCTCTTTGTGTCCATTTACTTTCTGATGAGTATCAGCAGTTATCAAGCGAAGCATTAGAGGCCGGACGTATCTGTGCCAACAAGTATATCACCAAAATGGCTGGTAAAGATTCTTTCCATTTGAGGGTTCGTGTTCATCCCTTCCACGTTATTCGTATCAACAAAATGTTGTCCTGTGCCGGTGCTGATAGGTAATAATAGGGTTATTTCTACTTTTTTTCATTTTGAGCAAATTCGCAAATTTTTTTAAATAAAAATATTTTTTATTAAGATTGCAAACTGGTATGCGAGGTGCATTCGGTAAACCCACAGGTACCGTTGCCCGTATTGATATTGGACAAATTATTTTCTCTGTTCGTACCAAAGATAACGTCAAACCGGTTGTAATTGAAGCACTCAGGCGCGCAAAGGTAATTTATCAGGAAGAAAATTCTTGCAATTTTTCATTATTTCATTTTTAAATTAATGATAAATTTAAATAAAAATAGTACAAGTTCCCCGGTCGCCAAAAAATTATTGTGTCCAAAAAATGGGGATTCACAAAGTTATCCCGGGAGGAATACGGGGACAAACGACAAGCCGGCCTTTTGCAGCCAGATGGTGCTTATGTTAAATATCTATCAACTCATGGACCTCTTCATAAGCATCTTGCACAGATTGCTGCACAATAATACATTATTACAATTTTTTTTTTTATTCACTCATTTACTTTTTATCTTATTGTAATGTAAATGTAAATGAAAAATTAAATAAATTATAATCAAAAAAAGATTGGCCTGTGAAAATATTTTAATTTTATTATTGCTGTTACTTTTATAAGGTTTTATCAGAATCTTTATCAGAATGCATTATTTAGTAAATCTTTAAAAATTGCCAAGTTATTCCTTGTATTTGTTCAACAGTTGGAACACGGCAAGGTACAACCGTTACCGGATCGCCAACTATAATAGGAGCAGATAGACACTCCGTAGGTCTACCGTATGGATGAATAAGAACGGAATCCTAATAATGAAAGTAAAATAAAGATAGTAAATGGAAATGTGAATGAACGTTTGAATTTACCAAATTTACCTCAAAATTTGAATCGGTGTAGCACCATTCAGTGTTTTTGGCATAATATGATGAGTTCATTAATAAAGTATTATCATCCATATTCCATGCTAGGCTTTATTATTATATAATATTTTAGTATGAAATTTAAATACTTTAACATAACATACATACATAGTTTCTCCCGGTCCAAGTATTTGTATTGGCTTTTCGCAATCCTCATAACTTTGTTGAAAAAGATCTACCTTAAATATAGTTTGTGAACGAACATTCATACAGTCCTTCACATGCAAGGGAGTAGTAGAAATGTCCAGACATTTCCAATCGTATTCTGTAAAGAATAATGAACGAACGTCAAAATTTGACAATCTTTTTAAAATTCGAAAAAAAAAAAAAAAAAACTTACTATTTTGAATAATATTCGAAGGTAAATCAACTACAGCGGGGCCTCCATGATGATGCATATGTCTATGTGCTATACATTCTCTAAAAAAACTTATATAAATAAATATTAAAACAGCAATAATGCTATCACGGACCATATTTCTCTGATACTACTTGTTTTAAAGGAAAGTCAAGTTGATTAAATTAAATATGTATGGATATACTATATATGTGTAAATGCAATGAGATTCATTTTACTAATTTGGCATTCGGCAAAATATTGGTCACGCATTCATTATACGTACGTACGAGAAAAAGGAGTTGATTTATCCCGTCGCTGTAACACCTATTATATACATAATCCTGTCGTCTTTTATACATCTTGCAAGATCCTAGTGCAGCATCGATTGAATTTTTCCTTTATTCCCAATGTTCACGGTCAATAATCGATAAAACGCAATGTGGCCTCCCAGTGATAAATTACCCTTACCAGATTTACCCGAGGTCAAATCCTTCATTGGCGTCATTTTTGCTGTCTCTGGCAATGTAAGCTTCTGTTTCCCTTTCTTTCATAATTTCTTTGGTAAATTCATTAGCATATATTTTTTGTGTTAATATTGCTCTTTTATACAGATTTTGATCTCTGTCGCATTAAACGTTCAAAAAAACGCCCATAATGAGCTTCAAAAGCTTCAACTCGACCGACTTGATTCAACCGATTTTGTAAACGACTCTGCACCAAATTCTCCATTAGGAACACGCAACTTTCCAAATACTCCTGATAGTTATGTGCCAGATCCAGATGATTATGGTCATACCAATTATCTTCATTCAAAAGCATGGTGGGCTGGTCTCTTTTTAATGATCATTGGTGAGTAATTAGACCATTTAGGCAATTCGTTTGTTGTTTAGCACACATTAGGCTAAACAATACATTAAATTTTTCAATGTTCTAATGACGTCCCCAATTCCCGTGCATATTACCATTCTAGTCATGGTACATAACATGTAAAATTTTATATTTCTTTATCAAGACTCATTTATTCTTTGTTTATATTGATCTTTGATATATTTAGGCGAATTGGGCAATTTTATCGCATACGCTTTTGCTCCAGCTTCGGTTATCGCTCCTCTTGGAACTGTTGCTTTGATTTCTAATGTAATTTTGGCCCCGATAATGCTTAAGGAGACGTTTCGACCTCAAGATTTACTCGGAATTTTAATCGCAATTATTGGTGCGGTTGTCGTCGTCATAAATTCAAAGTCAGATGAAGTAAAAGTATGTATAATTATTTAAAATTATGATATTGTAATAATATATAATTAATATGTAAAATTTCTTTAAACAGCTTTCACCTCAAGCGATATGGATCGCTATTATGCAAACACAATTTACCATTTATCTATCAGTAACGCTTGTGATGTCAATGCTGTTAATATTCCTTTCTGATAAAATTGGTCATAAACTAATTATTATCGATCTATCATTGGTTGCAATTTTTGGTAATGTCCTGAATATTTTTTATTATAGTATAAATAATATAAAGCACACCAGTGTGGTTAAATTTAGGATTAAAGTTAGAAGTTAAAGGCCAGAATAAGAGGCGTTGAATATTTTGTTTAGAGCATCAGATATTAATTATTTGCTAGTTTATTGAGATATAATAATTATGGTGTTGACTACCATTGGTGCACTATTGGTGTGTTTTAGTAAACTTTATATAACTATATCGTCAGTTTTTCTAATATCTAGTTTTGATAATATAGGTGGATATACTGTATTGTCAACAAAAGCAATCTCTTCCTTGTTGACGATGAAATTTGTTTTGATGTTTAGTTATCCGATCACATATATTTTGTTGTTTGTTCTAATGTCTACTGCAGTTCTTCAGATAAGATTTCTCAACAAAGCATTAAAGCAATTTGATTCAACGGTTTGTAGTTAATACTTATTTCTCCTTCATGATTCATGACACGATTGTAAATATATCATATAAACTAATAATTTCAATGTTTTATTTTTATGTCGATTTAAGGAAGTTATTCCCACACAATTTGTTTTATTTACTATTTCAGCAATAATAGGTAGTGCTATATTATATAACGACTTTGCTGAAATGGATTTTTGGAAATGTGCAGGCTTCTTAACAGGATGTTTAATGACGTTTTTGGGTGTTTACTTTATCACTTCCAATCGAGGAACTAAAGGTTACGTGAAAGTACCTCACACTGCTCCTAATTCTATACCTCGATCCGTATTATCCGATGACATCGGCGCTGATCGAAGATATGGAACGTATCAACGTCCAAATGCTACGACCATTCCTTCTAATCGAAGGCATACTGTTTTAGAACCACTTGTACATCCTTCCACACCTCTTTTAGGTGGTTACGATTCGAACAACAATTCTATATCAAGAAATGATGGTATTTTATTGTCTCTCGTGCATGGTTCTCTTACTGTTGGTGTAAGTCAAGCATTAAACTCCGTTGGTGCCCGTCATTCTCACGCACTAGGATTAGGTAAGATATCTAATATCACCTTTACATTTAATATTTTTATTACTTGTCTCAAACTTTATATGTATTTTTAGATCAAGTTTGGGAAAATTATTGGTTAAAAATGTTAGAACAAAGGTCTAATGAGTCTAATGATACTAACACCAATGGTGATTCAGGAGTTCATCGCCGTAGTAATTCAGTACCACAACCTCGAACATTTGATATTGAAAATTATCGATATGGTCGTAGACAAAATGGTCGTAGACCTAACATTTCATTATCTTCCAATCAAGATAATAATAGTGAAAATTTCAATTTACAATCAAAATCTTTAACTAATTCTTACCTTAGTACTTCGAATAGTAATTATTCTTATGATGATTCAGAATATGCTGCTGATGATGATGATACTAAAACAATTAGTGGTCGAACTACTTCAACAAATGGTAGTAATGTAGGAATATATATGGGCGATTCTGGTAGTACTTATGAAGCATTTCCTGATCTTAATCATTCTGAAAATATGGATGATTTGCCAGATTTACCTACAAGGCGTGACTATGGCAATGGTATAACTGAAAGCGAAAGTGAAATATAATTCTTATACAAGAACTTTTTTTTATTTTTGGATAAATTTAAAAAGAATAAATAGATTATTTTATGTTTGTCTTAGGGTTAATTAATGAACATTTTTGAAAAAGAAATGATGAATTATATGATTCTTTTATTTTATTTCCTCAAGTCAATTATTTTTTATCTATCATTCATTACTATTATTATTATTATTATTATTATTATATTATTATTATATATTTACTTTCGTTCCTTGCATCATAATCACATATAGTGACAATGATAGATATATACCATTTGTTAGAAAATATCATTGTTTGATAATGATACCATGAAAATAATAAGTTTAGTTTAATATTAAGTATTATTTTACATTATATATCTGATTATATTTATTATTAATCATTAGTTATGCTTATATATTTATAAAGAATTTTACATGGAACATAACTTTAAAAAATCAGTAATAATGTAAAAATTAAAACCAAAATTTATTATTTTTGTGGTTTGATATTAATAAGTTACCATTTAAAATAATTGTAAAGTTCCTATTTTGTAAGCATATAAATGAGTCTATAATTATATAATAAATCTAAACTTTTTCTTAATTAAAATTTTTAAAAGGTATAATGCTTGAATTTTTAAAGTCGTTTTTGAAGAAAAGATCTAATGCTATTTCTTTTTCAGACGAGTGATCTAAACAACGAATATTATAATTATTGGAATCCTATTCTGCAGATAAACGAGTGCGAAATAATTGTATACATACGAGAGAAATATCTTATAGAATTAAACTCAACGTATTTCAACTCTCCAACTTTTTTATCAGCAATCAATCAGAAGTGTCCATTGCTATTGGCTCTTGACCTTCACTTATCTCCGCAACAACAGGCGATTCTTTTGCTTCTGTGCTTTCAGTATTCTCTACAGGGTTTTGGTTTTCTTCAGCTACCGCATCCTCTAATTTTGTAAGCTCACTTGAGCTACCTTCTTCACTACTTTCTTCACTGGTATCAGCATCATAATCAGTCTCCTTGCCTTCCTCTTTTGTCACAGCCTCTATTTTAGGGGTAAACGTAATCGGAACCAATTTTGGCGAAGTAGTCACATCCATTATCTCTAGTCTATCTGTTACCATACTGGTATTTGAGACTGGCGGAAATTCATCAACAGAAGATTGCACCATTAATACCTAAGAAAATAAAGATCCCGTAATCATATTAGAAATATTGGAATAAATCAATATATATAAAATAATAAGTAAAAAGGGAAAAAATATACTAATAATATTATAGAAATAATGAGCCAAGTTTTTGAGCATAGCACCATACATATAAGATATTTGGTTTAAATATTTAATAGTAAGGAACTAAATGGAACTTGCTCCAGTTTTATTTTGCAGTATTACCTTTTCCAAAGCCCGAAGCCATTTAATTAAAGTTTTATGATGTTGAAAAGGTCTCAGTAATAACTCAGCCGTTCTTTGAATAGTGAATGGTGGTCTATAAATGTACGAGATAATAACTTAATACAATTATGATTAACAAAGAAACCACCAATTAAATAATGTTATCATGTACTTCTCAAACCCATCGAGCATTTTGTTAATATTTTGTTTATATTCTTCTATCTCTGCTTTAACTTTATCTATCTGTTCTGGATCTGCGCCATTTACTGCGATTGGCAATTGTGTTTCCTGACAAATCTATAATCATTTAAGCTAATCAATAATAAATAAAATATATAAAATAAAGAGCGTATACGTTTTCCTTTCTACCTTTTCAAATCTCTCTTTAATTATTTCTTTAACTTCTGGCCAAGGAATTCTTTATTACAGCTAATGTTAGTTTTGCTTAAAAATTTTTTGCACAAATTTGTGTAGCCGGTACACTCACGTAGAAGTAGATAGCACGCACACATACATACGTGAGTTGGTTCATTTCTGATATATGCGTTAAGGCCTCATCGCCGGGAGATAAAACTTTTGGTTCTAGTAACATAATTTATTGTAAGTTGAAGAAAACGATTAATGAAGGTTAACAATTCATCTATAAACCTGTTGATGCTTCTTGCTCCTGAACTGGCAAATCTTGTGGCAATGGATCAGGTTCCGTCTGGGCTTGTTGTAATGGTGTGGTTGGTGTTGTTAACTCTATAGAAAACGAATCAAGAAATTAAAAATGGTTTCTTAAATTACATTTTTAAGAAAATTTAGTTACCAACCATCAGCATCTGGTTGGCTTGTCAGGGCCATATCCTCTTCGGATTTTGGCTTGGAAGTGAAAAAACTAAAAAACGATGTCATATATAGCACGACTGCACTCAAATATAATTTTTTTATGTAATTTTGTAAGAATTAAGCGTGGGAAATGTACGGTAATCTTTCCTTTTCTTTTATTTATGGACTAGTTTTCCGAACCCATACTACCATGATCCAATTATCACGTGATTATATCAATCTCTCTTCCACGAGACAATTTATTTCTTAAAGCATCGACATCCTTCCAAGAAAAACAACAGACAGCAACTAGCATTTTTAAATATTTGAGATCCCTATCCCAATTTATACATTGCAAAACCACCTGATCGGTTACCCAGTCATTATGGGATATCTCAAGGAAAACAAGATTTATCAATCCCGTACTAAAAATTCTCAATGCTTGAGGACCATTTTCATGGTTAGAACAACCAGCGATGGATAAATGGCTAAGTAGCGGTATAGTTGAAGTAACTAACTTGGATAATGGTATGATAGGAATATTGCAAGTAAAACTAACATTTAATCTACAAAGTTCAGGAACTTTAGAAACATATTTTGTAGACAATGAACTAGAATCTTTCACTGGCTTTTCCCAAATAGAGGAAGAATCAAAAGATTTAAAATATCGAAATGATAAAAAATCGGTATCATCGCTTTCAGAGCGATCCATAAGGGCTTCCCAATCGTCTACAATATCATCATTATCATTAACCATTTGCCAAAAAGATCTTTTCAGACATTCCAAAGATACGCTACTATTTGATATATCTAATTCATCATATTCAGAATCTGATGCAAACAATTTAAGCAAATCATCGGTGAGAGGATTGTGTATGCTTAAAGAGGAGAGGATATTTTGTTTTAGATGTGTAGGCAAATTTGAAAAGTATGGACATGAAATATAATTTTTGATGTTTATGGCTATTGTATTTATGCAAGCAGTAGCGAGTGATGGTAGATCAAAATTGGAAGACGATAGTTCTGTAATTATAAGATAATCAAATTATAATGTAAAAGCTTTATAAAATTGATAAAAGTACGATAGTTAGAAAAAGAAATCAAGAATGGTAGAGAAATATATCTCTCACCATCCCAAGCGCTTTTTTTTTGCTTTTCGCACTTCAATTTGCGTTTGCAATTTATCAGATTCGCTCAATTTACTGGTATTTTCAGAGTACCACGCACCTCGCCAACTTCTGGGTGGTAACGGACCTGAAACACGGAGTCTCAGATCGTTCTCAAACCTTTCCCTCTGTTCACCTTCAACTTGATTTAAATAAGCTCTCATTAAATACTTATACGCAGGCATCGGCAACGTTTCAGTTAACCTTTGGTTGCTTTTTGGTTGGGATTCGTGACGCAGCTTATTAAGTAGTGTAGAGACCTCTGGTGTTGAAACATGTTTGTTGCTATGTATTGAATGAAATTTTTGACTATCAGTTGAAAATGTTTTAGAAACCGATTTCAAGTATTTTCGTTTTTGTTTAGAGTTTCTCATTAGAAATTCCAGTAAAAATTTGAAGTGGTAGTGGTAAGTAAAATTATTAATTATATATGCCTTTCGATTACCACGTGGATTATAGAGTTACGTAATTGAGACGGAAGGTCTATTTCCCGGGTCGGAATGCGTCGATAGTAGTTAGTATTGTTAAAAAATGCAAGGTTTTTCATTATTTGTCGAGTTATAGTGTATCTGAAGTTACGCTGCCATATCGGTGTAAAATGTCTGAGTTAATCAAAGAACGTTCTTCAAGTTTTTCAATGTTTCCAAGTTGGTGAGGATTAATGGTGAATACAGTAGGATACACTCTAATATTGAATGAATTAACCGTAGACTATTCCGACAAGCATTCTTTAATTAATGATGATGACACAAGTACTTTCTGATTATTTTACAGTACCATGAGCCGTAACTGGTCAAATTTTCAGATCATTTAGCCTGGTTTGAAATTATTTGACTTCAAAGCTGGCCAAATGATCTGCAAATTTGACCAGAGTTACGGATCATGGGTTTTTCTATTTAAATCCGCCGACATGATTTTACGTACGTAATATTTTTCATAAAACTAATAAATATATACCTAATAAAGTAATATATACAGTACGTATTAAAAACAATTATACGTACGTATACGTAGGAAAGAATTATGTTAAACAAGTTCTTGAATATAATTAGAATAGTTAATATAACGAACGATATATTACGTACTGTATATAGATATGTATTTTTAGTTCTTACTAAGGGCCAAATTAATTTAATTCTTCAACTATTTATAATATATATAAAAAGATATATATATACACGGTATTATATATTTGTATATATATATATATTATAGAATTAACGTTAATTGCTACGTAACGCTAATTTTTTAAAAAATTTGTACAACAATGTATGTTTGAAACTTGTTCAAAACCATGAATTGAATTTCTCTAAAAGTCGAATCATAACGATCCTGTTTTAGTAGAAAAGCCGCTTCTGTTACGTGTTAATCGAAAGGGTTAGTATAATAAAAACATAACAGATAATTTGGAAGTCGATACGAGAAAACACAAATCACGAGTATACTACACGAATTGTACCTGTCACACATATATTGCATTAATGAACTTTGTAATATTTCCCATTCTCGTATACGTATACTTATGTCCGATATAGAGACAGTCGGTACGTTTATTGTATTTACTTGTATGAATTCTCTAGTATATGTCAGAATTCAATGACCAGAAACTTTATTCAAATAGATTCTTGTTTTAAAAAATTTGTAGAATGTATTCTAATATATGGCGTAATTTTATAGCGGCCGCTGATAAAGCGGCCAATACAGTTATACTTGCTGTTGGTCCTGTTTTTATCGTTATTGCGGTCGGGTTGATTGGTCTTGCTACTACTGTATACTTTACTGTAGTATTTCCAGCCTTTTATGTTTGGGACGACGATTATATTTGGACAAAGATCTATTATTATATTGGTTTAATATTTAGTATATATATGGTTGTCTGCATCTTTTTTCATTATTACATGGCCGTGAGAACAAAGCCTGGTGGCGTATTGAATGCTGGGACTGTACAATCGGTGAGCGACTACCTTAATTGTGTTGAATCATAAAATTTTTTTTTCAATATAATCTAATTTCAATGATTTAGGATTCTAATGATCCAACATTACAAGATTTGTTTCTTGAACTGGAAGAATATCAAGAATTTCCAAAAACATGCAAAAAATGTATCATTATATAATTTTATGCATCATTCTAATTTATTCATTTTCAATTATTTTAATTTTTATTGCATGATTATTTCGAAAGGTCACCTTCCAAAACCAGAGCGTGCTCATCATTGTTCCGTTTGCAGAAGATGTGTGTTAAGATTTGATCACCATTGCCCTTGGATAGCGAATTGCGTTGGATACTTCAATCATCGTTACTTTTTATTATTCATGACTTATTTGGTTATTGGATGTTTTTATTTCGCTGTTGTTGGATGGCAACCATTCCTGTTAAGTTTGGGAGAAACTGGGGTATTGAAATTTTTTTGTCGTTTTAACATAGAAATTTTAGCATAGCAATGATTCAAATGTCTAATGGTTAACCATTCATGTACTTTAGTGGGATTGGTGGATGCCGCGCCCTTATGTGGCTTTATCGTTTTTGCTTGCAGTTGCAATTGGCCTGGCTTTGGGTATGTCATCATTTTTTTTTTTTTAGCTGTGTAGTAATCTATTCTATATTAAAATGGGCTGTCTATAAAATGCATACAGGGGGAATGTGTTCATGGCATTACTATCTAGTAAGTCAAATTCACTGTCTTAATATAAAAGGTGAAACAAGTCGAGTGTTAATTATTTGGTCTATGTGTAGATTATGACAGCACAGACAACAGTAGAGTTTTATAACAATCAGTATGCGAGACGTACTGCAAGAGCAAAGGGAGAGGTAATTGTAGTTTTGCAAAAATAATATATACCTTTTTTCAGAATAATAATTAATATAGTTTTTTTTCTTTCGATTAGGTGTATGTGAATCCATATGACCTTGGTCCTGTATTAAATTTGTGTCAATTCTTTAATGTCGGCCGGAATTAGTAAGTATTTGTTGACTAATGGCGTTCTTAAGCGACTCCCTTAATGAACTAAACAAATTCATTGAGTGAGGTGCTTGAGAGCGCTTAAATTATAGAATACCACATTTAATATGATTTAATAATGGCTAACATATAAAATTTTATCTCATAAAGCAAATAGTAGGTATACTTGAATTCTAAATTTCTTTATCACTTTGAAAATTTCTGATTAAGTTTTTATAATTCAAGTCCAATATACACGATATTTCTACCAATACCAATATCTCCACCGAGTAATGGTAAGGTTTGGGAAAAAAATCCAATGGGTTATGCAAATGTTCAAACGGAAATATCGGAAGATACCGATTGATTATAAAAATAATGGGAAATAATGGTAGATGGGTGAGTTAATTACGGTTTTTGCTAGAAAAAATTTTTTTTTTCCACTTCTACTAACCAGTAATCTTTCATAATACAATAACTGTTTGGTGCATAGAACTTTTTGTACGAAAGAATAATATAAGGTTAATTACTGTAAACCATTTTGTGAAATTTTTTTTTTCTATTACACGAATGTATATATTTAATAGATAATTTCAATCTATAAAATAAAATCCACGAAAATTTGTATTGCAAACACACCATTTTTTTGTTCATCTTTCATTGTTGAAATATATACTATATTTGCTTATTTTTCAAGATTCGTTGTCGAACTTTGAAATATTATGGTTTTAATATGAATATTTAATTGCGTATATACTGAGAAACTATAAGTAGAGTTAATACCTCTATCCGGATTTATATATCCGGATATATACTATGTCATGTGATATAGCGTGACATAATGCTTTTATATCCGGATATAAATAAATCCGGATTTAAATTTATATCCGGATTTAAATTTATATCCGGATTTATATGATAAAACCGGATATAAAAAATATATCCGGATTGAGGTATTAACTCTAACTATAAGACTGCTTTTACTTCCCCAAGTTCTTATTGGACGCACAGAAATCTTATCCCTGATTGGATGAAATTGATTACATCAGACTTTGAGCCGAAATCAAAATAATTAAATACGGCCGCATATTAAAATAATATGATATATATTATACTAAATATTTTACAAGGAATATTTTTTAATGCAAAGGGTAATTTCATAAGCAAAATTTTGGATTTTTGTTTTTCGAAAAACTTTCGAAATTTTGTGTTACACCAGGTCCTGTCCAATCTGAAAAAGTATTTACAGTATCCAATCAAGACTTTGGGAGAAATTAGGGCATCCTCTCGATATCAGAATCATCAATCTCAAATTAATTAATTGATTAAAAAACGTAGAAAATTTAATGTAAAAATAATCAAACGAGATCGAGAATCCTTTTGTTTTTACTGTAATGAGTGCTAAAACAGCGACTATAAATAATATCACGTAATTATGTCTGACCGCTTCCGTGATTCTGATTGGTTGAATATACGATGATCAATCATATCTGAAATGTTTGTAGGTAATCCATCTTTGTACAAAATAATCCTAACCTTTCATAATGCTGTAATGCATGGGTTGCAAAAGACTAGTGCTACAAATCGACAAAAATTTTCCAATCGATTAGTTGACAACCCATTTTACCCAACTAATCTATTAATCGATTTTATTTCAACTAATCGATTAGTTGACCAATCGACTAATCGATTAGTTGACCAATCGATTAGTCGACTAATCGACCAATCGATTAGTTGATTAATCGATTAGTTGACCAATCGATTAGTCAATTAATCAACTAATCAATTGATTAACTAATTGATTAGTCACTTTGTGCATCCAAAGTATATGCCGGGATAATAATTAAAATTAACCAATCGATTAGTTGACCAATCGACTAATCGATTAGTTGACCAATCGACTAGTCGACTAGTCGACTAGTCGACTAATCGACTAATCGATTAAGTTGGTTTGGTAAAATGGAATCGATTAGTTGTCAACTTGATCAACTAATCGATTTTTCAACTTTCGATTTGTAGCACTACAAAAGACTACAGGCGATTATTTTAGTCGTTAATCTTTACACCTAAGGTATTTAAATACTAAGACGATATAAAAATTGTTTTTTTTCTCTAAGGTGAAGTAAATTTACGAAATTCGAATATCTGGGTTTAAGTTCACGTATCCAAAAAATTAAAATGTTGAATTAGAGATAGCAGTGAAATTAATATCCCTCTCTCCGACATGTCCTCTTCTCGACATATTCGTTTTTTTTTATTTTTTTTTTATTTTTGTTTATTATTCGCAAAAACCTTTAGTAACAATACAAGCTTTAGAAAGATTCTGTGAACTGTCAGCAGGTCAAAATGTTATTGTAGCAGTTATTTATCAAGATTCAAGACAGAAAAGGTGGTCAAGAAAAGAAAGTGGTACGTATAAAATTACAATTTAGATTGAATAATTTATATGAAATTTCAATCAACGATATATGGTTATTATTAATTTCATCAATTTCTTTATTTCATCAGTATCTTTAGTATAGATACCAAAATCTTACTAAGATATACAGTAGCGATTGACTTTTAAATAATAAAGAAATCAAATGTGGTCGCAATAAAAATTAAATTTATTAAAAATCTCTAATAACGACCGGATTTAACAAAAATGAATAAAGTTTAAGCAAAATCTCATTAAACAAAAAATAAAAATTCAAAGTTCATTTTTCTGTTTGAGAATTTATTTATTTGAACAGTCACAATTTATAAACTAAATTGCCAAAAGTTGTAACAAATTTTACGTTTATTACAAAACGCACCTATGATGTTTTTATTATGCTTTTTTTTAAGATTTTCTAAGTTTTTGTATACCGGGTGTTTGATAAGTCCCTGAACAGGACCTTTTTATTGATCACTAAATAAATCACTAAATCATTAAATAAATCATTATATACCGGACGTAAAAAAAAACCAATACGAGCGGATATAAAAAAGGTCCTGTTCAGGGACTTATCAAACACCCGGTATATTTAAAATGTCGCAGCAACACATAGTCCAATTATTTTTATTGGTACCAGTGAACAATATTCATGATTTAGAAATATTTGAACCTAGGCCTCTAGGACTTGATGGTTAAAAAGGGCATTCCTTTCATACCAGTATTATCGAAATGAACTTAGTACGATTTTATTTTTTGTTAATATTTTTTTAATTTCTCTACCATAATTGTATTTATTTATTTTTACGTTAATAATTTTGTTGTCTTTTAAATAATTTTTATTTTATTTTATTTAAAATATCGCATTACAAATTAAATTTTTTACATTTTATAATGTATACAATTCAGATATTTTGTAATACAAAAATTTTTTAAAAAAATATAACTTTTTTTTATTAATTTAATAGATTTTTATAAACTAAATAAAATTTACAAACAGTGAACTTAATAAAAGTTTGAGATACTTAGTTTCAGATTATTTGTCCCAACCACCGCGAAGAGGTGTATCTTATTGGTTGGGAAGGTCATAACAGAGGTTTAGGCGTTGAAAAACACCCAATTATATTTCGGGTATAGTTTTATTTTTTTAAAAAAAATTAAATGCCGCCTAACGTATTATACCCCAACCATTCTCTCCTGTGCCTCCCATACAGCAGGAGCAGGTTGTTCTTCACAGAAACGAAGCATTTACTTACTGGTAGTTCGCCAACAAAAATCTCTCTGCCCAGATTTTTTAACTACTCAACCGGCTCCTCATACAGAATCAGTATATCTTGGCGCAGGGGAGGTAAAAAAAGCTGAACATCATGGAGGGGAGAGAGAGAAAGAGAGAGAGAGAGAGAGAGAAAGTGTGTGTAAACAATGCCAAATTTAAATTGTTTTGATTTCGGCTCAAAGTCTGATGTAATCAATTTCATCCAATCAGGGATAAGATTTCTGTGCGTCCAATAAGAAC